AATTTTATTTGTTCTAACATTTTTGGAAGTTTATTACCATTGTTTGTGATGTTTGATTGAAAATTTCGACTTAAATTATAAGCTAAAATGATTTTTCATCTTAAAAATAAATTATACTGTTTAAAAGCAAATARTTTTTATTTTATAGAATGAAATTTACATAATTATCACAAAATTAATAGTGATTAGAATACCTAATTTTATATATTTTAGTACTCAATAAAATATAGGATAGACTTTAAAAAAATAACTACCCTAATTTCTACAAATTTAAGTCAGATACCTACAAAACTCAAAAAGATTAATTATAACAATCTAATGGAAAATCGTTTTTTTTTCTTACAGTAGTACTAGGTATATTACTATATTATATTAGTTACTATACTTTTACAGTACTTTTTGCAGTACAGTTATGAAAAAAATATTTATCATTTATTTTTTGAGATATAAATTACAATAAAACACATTGTTTCACTAGTAAACTAAATATAAAACGTATAAAATAATATTAATCAAAGGATATAAATTTAGTTAAAGCTATAGTTAACCTAATATTTCAAATAAATATATTACTATAAATAATATAAGTATATGACTAACAAAAAATTACAGTCAAAGGCATGTAAATGGTGTCAATAATATTTGTATTGAAGATTTTTGGAATTTCAGTGTAGACCTGTTTCATATTTTCTTTATTATCGAATAGCAATATAGTTCTTATATATATATACTCATTAACAATAAGCAGACATATTAAAATAATATTCTAATTTAATTATTAAAGAACGTATATTAGTTTTACAATGAATAATATTTATTTGTTCACCCATCATTTTTCTTAGATTACCTAAGTTTTATAAAAGTTTGAAGAATCATTATTTATCATATATGATATTTTAAGAATCTATTCGATTTTTATTAAGCAGATTATTTTTGATTTGCTCTGAAAAAAAACAACAAAAAGTAAGAAAAATTTTTAAAATTTATAGTACATTCCTTTTAACAAACCCGAACAAGGTTATTTTGTTGTACATATTTGACATATTTTAAATAACAAAGCATTCTTCAACTTAAACCTTGATGTTTACAGTTCAATCATTTCATGTCTGTTGTATTTTAAATATAACGAACAAATTAGAAATATTGTTTGACGTTTATTTTAAATAATAATAATATAATAATATGACAGATTAAACATCATTACAAAAAACTAGACAACTTAATAACTAGTGAGACGCGACTACTCGAGAGTGACGTACCCACGGAGTAACGTCGTAACGGACAAAAGAATATGATAACAAGTACTCTAAGT